CAAGAAACAATCCGTGTAGAAAGTCTTGCAGGGTTCATACACTGTTTAGTCTTCTGGTAATGAGAGTTTCTGAAAGGTGCACGCAAGGACGGACAGGGTAATCCTGTATTCCTCTCAGAGTCTGGATGCCCAGGGTTTGTGAGTGGCCTAGAGTGTCTTTGGGATACCGGAGAGGGCTTTCTCGTGGCTGCTCCCACACTGCGGAACTCCCTCCCACTGGAAGCCGGGCTGGACCCAACTCAGCTGTCCTGCCGCAAAAAAAGTCCCTTCTCTTCAGACACACATTCCCTTAAAAGCTGGTTTTCTGAGACGGATTTTAACCAAACTGTTGTGCCTTGTTGCTTTCCTTCTGCTTTTGGTGTTGGTTTGGTTTACCGTGTTTAGTGTGGTACCTGTTTAATCCTTTTTAGTCTTGGCATACTTACTATTTTTTTTAGCTTTAAATATCGTCTTTTAATGATGTAAGCCGCCTTGGGTCCTTTCTTAAGGAGTAGTAAAAAAATATATATTTTCAATGCATAAATGAAATGAAATATACACAGATTACGTCTCGTTTGCTATCAACCCTAAATGTACACAATCTACGTTAATTCACTAGGCGTCATGATATGCGTAAGGACCGCGGCTAGACACAGAGCTACCGTAACCTTCTACGCTGCCACCTTCAAAACTACGGACAAAAAAATTAACACAAGAGTGGAGGGAAGGGAGTGGAGTGGAAACTAAACAGCTGAGATGTAATCATTCCTAAAGCTAAATCTAACTATACAGATAATGAGAAATCTATCTACTAAAGTCTTCGGGCACACTACGTGAACAGAGAAGAAGAAAAAAAGGGGGGGGGAGTGAGGCTGGTTTTGTGATTCCCGAGCCGGAAGACAGAAGAGGGAACAGAATTAACTACACATCGCGTTTGTACCTTTGATCTAGGAAAGGCTGGGACACGCAGGTGCCCCCTCCATTGACCACTACTGATGAAAGAGCATCCGTGGCCAGAGAGAGAGAGGGGCTCTGTGGAAGCAACGTCATAGAAAAGCGCTTAGGAAGACAGAAGACGCCACCCTGAGTCTCACAACAAGCTGTTCGGGCGGAGGCGCTCAGGCCCGCAACAGCTGCAGGGTTCGAGTGGTATGCAAAGCAAGAACCATCGTCAACCGACACCCACCCACCCGCCGGCGGAAGGGAGCGTTGGCAAGGAATCCGGCAGCAGGGGAGGAGACTGGAGGGCTTTGGGGCACCGCCACGTGGGCGAATGGTCTCCTGCCTGGACCACAGCTGGAATCAGCGTGTGCAAGTGTCACAGCCCCCCAGGTAAAAAAGCTTCCTGACTTGGGTACAAACACAGTAGCTCCCTATTCTGGCTCAAAGGGGTCCCACCCTCTGAAAGCGAAGGCTTTCCTTCTGCTCATGGGCAGGTAACGCTCTTTCCCCCAAAGGCCAACGGAAACTCTGTTCTTCAGATCTGGGCCCCTTAATCTGGAATACCTACTTTTAAACATAAATATCTCTCTCTCTCTCTGTCTCTCTGTCTCTCTCTCTCTCTCTCTTTCTCTCTCTGCCTATAGTTTTCAGAATTTTTGTAATGCTCCCCCATGCCATCAGGAGAAATGAGGTTGAATGGTTCTCCGTTATTCCTCCAAAGTTATTGCACCAAGATGCATGCACGCATATATATTTATTTCTGCAAGCTCTCTCTCTCTCTCTCTCTCTCTCATACACACACCCGCAAACCAGGCACCGTGTATTAAAAAAATATAGAACAGGGGCCAGAGAAAGAAGGAGCAAAGCAGATTCCAAGGGGACGACCGTAGGTACTAATCCCTGTTCAAAGCCTCCTATGCTAACAAAAAAGTCTCTGTATTTCACATTAAGTCCTGCGGACCTTTAGAAACCCTCCACTTAGAAGTAAGTCCCCCTGATCTGAGATTTGTTTCCAAGCTGGCTCGCTGACGGTGACGGGCTCTCCCAAGGCTCAGAGAGGCAGAGAGCAATTCAAGGGTTCAGGAGAGAAAGCACACGTCTCCAAATGTCCGCATTTCCTTCCCTAAAAACCCTCTGGAAGGGCTCAGCCCAGGACTGAACTCCCAGGAAAGCCACCCAACCACCGCGTTGACTTTGCTGAGGGCTCAGCCTGCAGCCAGTTCTTTCCTGGGCAAAACAACCTCACAAGGGCTGGAAATTGTGGCCTTGCGCTCTTGTGATGTTGTTCTCCCCAAGAAATTACTGACTGTAGACTAGGACCAAGCCAAAGGAACATGGTCATTGGGTGGCTTTTCTGTCCTTTGTAGAGACACAAGCATCTTATCAGAACAGGAGAACAGGGACACCAAACACCTGCATAAAGTTATACAGAGCTGCTTTTAGAAATTGTCAGGAAGCTGTGCCAAGTTTGAAATACAGCCACTGGGTTCTAGATCCCAAAGCCAACCTATGTAGTTTGTTCTAACCACCAGATTTACATCCAAGTGGTGAGCCTGAACTGGTTCTCAGCACCATCATGCACTTCAACAGATCTGTTCCCTCCATGGGGGTGCCCAGGATGTCTGCGGTTCTGTTCCAATTCAGCCACTCTGAAAATATTTGCATCCCAAGCGGTGGCACGTCCGTTTATTAAATGAAGAAAATCCGCCAGAATTGCTGACAGCAAAAATAACGGCAACCCCCATGTTTTGCCTCCTGTTCTGGTTTCCACCAGAGAGCTCCTGGGGTTGGAAAATCCAAAATAAAATCAAGATCTCTCGGGGTTTTTAGATGATGGAGAAATCCAGAAGGAGGAAACATGCCCCCCGAACCTGAGAAGCGAGACAAGACCTTTCAGGGAGTGAACCACAGAGATCACACAAGGTGGCAGAAATCCTACAGGTCAAGTTCACTTAGGAGCTTTGAGATTGAGCCCCACCTTATGTCCCAGTAAGGGCCATTTGGAGGGTTTGTTTCCAGAACCCAAGGATCTATGGCCAGGCTTGGCAATTTGAGAAGGAAGTTGGGAGTCCAAAACATAAAATTTATGAAGCGTGGGGGACGAGTTTGTAGAAGTGCCCTCTCTGTGTGGGTCAGAACATGGCTTAGTGGTTTGCAAAACTCTGCTTCCATCAAGATGCGATCTGGGTCATGTCAGAGAAAAGAAGAAGGAAGCATGAAAAGCCATCAGCTCTGGTTACTTGAGGTCCCGTGGGCTCCTCAGACACCCAAAGGACCCAGTGTTCCAGGAAACAAAAACAAATGCCCTTTTCAACCTCCTCCAAAATGGGCGTTTCCCGATTTCCAAAGCAGCAAATCTAACCCTGCCGTTACCAGCAACTTGAGAAGTAGGAATCGGCAGGTGGCTGATGCATATCATCATGTGTGAGAGAGGAAGAGAGAGAAGGCTGGTGTGGGAGCAGCCCCTCCTCGCCGGATTCCTCCATGGCAAGCTGCTTCTAAAGAACCACAGAGTTGCAGACTTGTGGAGTTAGAAGGGGCCCCTCAAGGATCATCTAGCCCAACCCCCAGTCAAAGGAAGAAAGGCAGGCATCGGTCTTGTTTTGCTGGGCCATTGGCAGCTGACATCTGAGCAAGAAGCCACCCATCCAGACCAGACAGGACCCCACGCTTCATTTTTTCTTTCAGCTGACCTTAAAGGATCCTGCCCATGTATATATACTACTGCTTTGAGAGCAAATTCTACCTATATCTATTTTTCCCAGTTTATACCAGTCTAATCTTGGTTTTAGACCAGCGTTTTGGCCTTCCAGCAAGAAAACCATGGGTACTGTTAAGTCCCCAGAGAGAGGGGTCAAACTTTCAACCAGTCACCACTAACCTCCTTTGGAGAACTACATTTCCCAAGTTCCTTAAGGAGAAAGGATGCTTCTTAGTTTGCCGACCACTGTGTAGATAGGCCGACAGGTAGAGGACACCCTTTGGAGCTCCACCCGGCCTAGAGTACTCACCTTCCCAAACTGCTCAAAGTACTGTTTCACGTCCTCCACCGTGGTGTTCACAGAGAGGCCTCCCACAAAGATTTTCTTCGTTCGCGTCACCATCTAGAAGAGAACCAGACAAGGAGGCAGCAAAGCCGTGCGGGGTGTGTGGGTGTGTGTGTGTCCTGAAGTCCCTTGACTTTACTGCTCAATGTAAATAGGCCACCCACCCCATGAGACCACCTGAGAAGATTAACGGCCTCAAGCTAAAGGAAGCCAGATTTCAGCTGAATACTGTATCAGGAAAAAAACGTATTAACTGTTAGAGCAGTACGACAAGGGAGCCCATGGCCTTGAGATTTGGTGTGTGCTCCAACACTCGTGGCATTCAGGATAAAATTGGACAACTGTCAGATCTGCTTTGATTGGGGTTCCTGCTTTAAGTAGGGGTTGGACTTGATGGCCTTAGGGGCCCCTTCCAACTCCAGTGTTTTAGGATTCTAAGAAAGCCCGTTTGCCACTATGTTGAATATAGCCAAAATTTGCCTTCTCCTGCCCCTTCCCTGCCAGAGAGTCATAGAGATGGAAGAGACCACTGAGGCCATCCAGTCCAACCCCCCGCCATGCAGGAACATCCATCAAAGTACTCCCAACAGATGGCCATCCAGCCTCTGCTTAAAAATCTCCAAAGAAGGTGACTCCACCATTCCACTGCCGAATGGCAAATTCTTCCTAAGGAAGGTGACTCCACCAGCCTTTGAGGCAGCCTCTTCCACTGCCGAATGGCAAATTCTTCCTAATGTTCAGATGGAATCTCTTTTCCTGTAGTTTGAAACCATTGCTTCGTGTCCTAGTCTCTGGAGCCCTGGAAATCCTCTCTTTCTCAACCTCCCTTTTTCAAGTTTCTAGCCCTCAAGGTGGTGGAATTTTGCTGAGCTCACTGTGCCTCACCACAGCCTTGCAAAACCCTAGACAGTGTCCAGGATCCCCTTCACTCCACATCCCTCCTGCTCAGTCATTAGACTTTGCAAAATACATTAGATCAAATATTTTATTCAGAAAAAAATGAAGCTGCCTGGTATCTCAGCCTGGCATGGCTCCTTTTGTGACTTACGCCACATGAAATAACCTTCCCAGTAAGATTAAGGATCCCAGCGCATGGTGCTTTCGCTAGCAACTAAGGATTTGGGCTAACTGCTAATCCTGACTAGAGTAGACCCTATTGAATCAACTGCTGAATGACGAGTCAACACTTCCATAAATCTCATTTTCCTCTGTTTGGAGATTAACAAGTAGATTTGGGTTTTCGATGTTTGCCCAACATTTTCCTGATCCTTTCCCCGGTGGTTACAAGTTGCAAGTTTCACCCTGGTTTTTAATGAATCGCTTCCGCTATCCTTTAGATCAACTTGAGCAAGTGGTTACACTGTTACATTTTTAGTGCAAAATGGCTTTGAAGTTTTTCTTCTTCTTCAAAAAAAAGGGAAGCAGTACAAAGATGTTACATATACTGTATATATACTTGCTGTTTCCCTTTTGGTGTCTGAAATAGCCACACGTTCTGCATTGGGTAGCTGGGAATCCCCTGGAAGCATACAAGGGACCGGTGTGCAACTGTTTGCACAACCGATCGTGCAACCAGCTGCACAACCGATGTTGTAACCAGTGCAAGACCGGGCACACGAGGGGGAATCTTAGTACATCTTGGCTGGTCATTCCCTCCATGTCAGAAATCCTCAACATCCTTTGATAAATCCACATATCAGTGCCTGATCTCTTTTTTTATACCATGCCTGGGTTGGCATCTGAGCTTCTTTGCCGCACAAGAGAACCAAGAATACACAACAGAACAGAATGTTCTCAAAGCCAGGTCTCAGCTTTTCTTTGCCATGTGGGAATCGTCTAAATCCTCTGAAGCCTCCGCTGTGCCAAGAGGCCAGGAAGATGGGCAAAACGTTCACCCTCTGCCTTGCCACATATTCGGGCAGCGTCCTTGACCCTCTCCGTTGACCTTCTCTCCTCTGCTCACCACCTTTCGCCACCCTGAAGGCAGAATCCTAGAATCGTGGAGTTGCGAGGGGGCCTCAAAGGCCATCGAGTCCAACCCCCTGCTCAGGGCAGGAATCGGTATCAAAACAGATCTGACAGACGCTTCTCCCATTTTCTCTTAAATGCCTCCAGCACTGGAGGGCTCACCACCTCCCCTTAAGGTCGTGGGTCCCATTGTTGTACTGCTCTAACAGTTAGGAAGTTTTTTCCTGATCCTCAGCCTAAACCTGGCTTCCTGTCCCTTGAGCCCACGGTTGCTTGTCCTGCATTCTGGATGACCAAGGACAGATCCTGCCCCTCCTCTGCAGGAGTACCTTTCACGTCTTTAAAAAGAACAATCCTGTCTCCCCTTAAAGTCTTTTTTTTTTCCTCCAGGTAGCCGCGTGTTTCACGTACATGCAGAAGAGGGCTTGTGCAAAAGTGTGACCGTGGACAAGTGGCCAAGGGGGCCAGGAGGAGGGGTGCTCAGGTATCCCAAGTAACCAGCCCCAGAGCAAACACTGGGAATTGGGTTAATTCCATTAAGCACTTGGGTGACAGAAGGTGCTTTAAGGGTAAGGATGGGCAGCTTTCCAAAGCGGGGCATTGTTGGGGATTAACTCCAGGGCTCCTTGAGGGTAATCTGGAGTTACTTACACAGCCATGGGGGGGGGGGGAAGCTGAGGAAGGGCCGGTCCCAAGGGCACCCTGAGGCCCTTTTCAGGATCCGGCCCTCACCTTTATTCATTTGTTTGTAACACGTACATCCCGCTTTCCTCCCGTGAGTTTAGAGAAAAATGCAGGACTTCTTAATCCCTTTCTTACTTTTTATTCTCACAACAGACCTGTGAGGTAGGCTCACGTGGGAGCGCATGACTGGCCCAAGGTCACCCAGCGAGCGCAAGGGGGCCAGCTGGGGATTCGAATCCAGACGTCCCTCAACCTAGTGTCTAACCCTGATAACTCACTGGCTAACTGTACGGACTGGAGGTCGGGAGTGCCCATCCATGCTACAAAATGCGCGTCGCTCCTTCCACACCCCAGGGCGTGTCCGACGCGGCAACCACGGCCTGGCAGAGGGGACTGCACTGAAAGGGACAGAGCTTTGACAGAGTTCCTTTGTTTGGACTACAACTCCCCAAAAGTAACTTTTCCAAACTTTGAAATTCGCCAGTGGGCACCTGGCATGCCAACATGCCATGGTCCTCCCATTGAGCCTCAGCTCCGCCCTGAACACCCCCAAGACTATCTAAACCCTCAAGCCAGTCATTCAAGTCTAGGCATCAGAGACAATTAGCAGAGGGCCTAAGGTGGGTAAGAAACGCGTCCCCCCACCCCGCTTTCTGCAGAACTCCTCTCCTCCTTCGCTCTGTGGGCACCAGAGGCGCAGGGGCAGATTTCCAGTGCAAGTATCACAACAGCCCCCAAAGGATGACAGTTCCCCCACCCCCACCAGGGCAGGTCCAGATATGCAGGCAAGGGGATATTTCACATCACTACATGAGGAGCAGGTCTTTTGCAAAGCTAAAGGATCTTAACGGCTCGCTTAAGACCAAACTACCCTCATATATTTTGTATACAGAGGATTGCTTGTAGCAACATGCCAAACCCCCACCCCCAAAATCCATTCCTCCCATTTCTGGGCACCGCACTTTAAGACGGATGAGGATGTAAGAGGAGGGCAACCAGGATGGAAGCCAAGCTCTGTGAGGAAAGACTGAAAGAACTGGACATGTTTAGCCCTGGGGGAAAAAAAGACTGATGGAAGATTGGAGAGCACTTTTCAAAGACTTGAAAGCCTGTCCTACAGACGAAGGGCAGGATCTGTTCATGATCATCCCAGCTACAGACGAAGGGCAGGATATCTTCATGATCATCCCAGAGTACAGAACACATTACAATGAGCTCAAGCAAAAGAAAGCTAGTTTTCAGTTGAATATCAGGAGAAAAAAACTTCCTGTTAGAGTGGTACGACAATGGCACCGTGGGGAATCAATACTCCCAGCCTCTGGCTCCACAGCTGCGATCACCAAACCTCTAAGCTCAGGAGCTTCACATCCCAAAAGAAGAGTAGGGAGCACAGAATGGAGTCTAGCTTTTGGGACCTCACATGGCCCCATCACTTATCTGGGACACACTGTGCTGTTCCTAAACAAGGGAGGGTTTCTGACCCCAGCCTAGCACGTGGCTCCCACCGACAGTTCTTAGGTTCCTGCAGACTGCCTTTGGTCACCATCCAAGCACCTGACCGCCTCTAAGCCCTGCTCACGTACAGAGTTGTTTTCTATCGGTAACAAGACCCAAGGGCTTTAAGGCAACCATTCCCAATGCAGCATCTCCAGATGTGCTGGCCTCGCATTCCCGTAGTCCACCTGTAAGAAAAGGAGCGGGAGGACCCCTCGAGAGCATGAAACAGCACTTACCTTCGGCTGCGCCCGGCGTGGAAATGCCACCTTTGGGTCAATCTGGAAGAGGAAGAGGGACAGAGCGTCAGAGCGCGGGATGATTTAACAAAGAGGTTCTGCAACCAATCCAAAACACAACGCTTATTGGGGAGAATGAAGATCTCCAGCCAAAGCATAGAGAAGTAACTTCTCGGGATTATATTTCCCAGAATCCCCCAGCCAAGGCCGTTTGCCCTTGTGTCCGTTTGAGCCTTTCCATATTTGACAGAAAAGAAAATCTATTTAACGTTGTGGGTGCTTTAGGAAAGCCCAACTTTTCTGGGCAGTTTAAGGCACCCTTCTCGAATCCGACAGTCTTGAACCAAAACTGCCATATCTGCTAGAAATTATACTCAGAGCATCTGGACGGCGCTGTGTCGGGAACAGCCAATTTGAGCAATATTGCGTCTACACTATGAATCAACGCTTGGTTGCCTTTTCATTCTGTGGCAGGCTAATTTCACTGGAGTTTGACTGGAGTAAGCAAAATATGGCGCGTCTTTAAACAAAAAGGGCAAGATTTTAAAAATGTATCTGTAAATAAATGCAACACAAAAAGGGTTGGGATTGTTTCGGTTCATTGTTGCTCCCCTCTCCTCCCTTCTCTTTTCCCCGCTCATTTGGCCCAAGGAACCAGTAGGGGCCTTTGAGGGCCACCTCTGCTTAGCTGGGACATCCATCCCTTCTACACACACACACACACACAGACACACACACCCTCCTCGGATTTCCCTCGCCACCCTTTAAAGCTCCCGCTACCCCCCATTTTCAGAGCAACCGAGGAATGACGTAGCTAGTCCAGTATCAACGGTTCTTCCATCGTGTCTTTCTTGTGATGACCAGTACAGACACTAGTAGGCAGCTATACTAGCAGCAACAATCACAGATACAATAACAATATTACAAGAGGTATACCAGGAGTTGCAACAATGCTTACTACACAGTAACACCACTGACTAGTTAGTTGTTGTTCTGTGCCATCAGGACGCCCTCAGGAATGACCCATCTCCAACACGTCCTGTTCTCCACTGTCCTGCTCAGCTCTTGCAAACTCAAAAGTTGTGGCTTCCTTGAGGGAGTCGGTCCATCTCGTATTGGGTCTTCCTCTTTTCCTGCTGCCTTCCACCTTTCCCAGCATTATTATCTTGAGGGAGCATTTTGGTGGAGGGAAAACAGACCAGGAGAGCCCTTGGCACTGAACAGCCCCGTCTGAGTGCAATGGTTTCAAAAAAAGGGGGGAGAGGACTCTCATTTTACTCATATGGGACCTGGCAGGTTGGCCTACCTGATAAACCAGCCAGGTTATGATGGAGGACTGGCTCCCGCCATGTCTCCTAACCTCACCTCTGTGCCATAGCCCAGTGGTCCCCAACCTTGGGCCTCCAGATGTTCTTGGACTACAACTCCCAGAAGCCTTCACCACAACCTCTGCTGGGCAAGATTTCTGGGAGTTGAAGTCCAAGAACATGTGGAGGCCCCAAGGTTGGGGACCACTGCCATAGTCCACATGAGGCATCTGCCACCTACGTGCCTCCGTGGCCACTTCCATGGCAACCTGGGTCATTCCCGTGGGTAGCTTCCTGAGAAAACCTTCCTCTCTCAGGTTGCCAACTGCAAAAGGGAGCAGGGCTCCTCCACGGTAAAGAACTCTCTTGGGTCTTTCTGCACTTCGACCCTGGCTGGGTCTCACGACCTCGCCCACAAAGACCTGGGCGTGATCTTTTTCATCAGACTGCGACCCGGGCAGATGCCCAAGTGCTTTTGCGTGTGGGTCCTGCTGCCCTCCTTTCTCTAACTGTTCTGCCTCCAAGCAGAATATGGGGCACGATCCCCGGTCTGAAGGTGAGGCGCTCAGAGGCCCCACACAATGTCTCCTGCCTCATCCCAAAGGAGGAGCAGGAGAGGAGCAGCCTCATTTCCTCCGTGTTCAGTCGTCCCATGGAAAGCAGAGTCTACCAGTTTCAGGGTGGGTCAAAACAGTTGATCTTTTTTTTTTTTAATTTAAAAAATCGGGATTTTTTTAAAAAAAATTTAAATCAAATTTATTTTAATGAAATCGTCCCATGGAAAGCAGAGTCTACCAGCTCCAGGGTGGATCAAAAGAGTTGATCTTTTTTTTTAATTTAAAAAAATCAGGATTTTTTTAAAAAATTAAATCAAATTTATTTTAATGAAATGGATTTGGACGGGAAAAAAATCTATCTAAAGATAGTTTTCTGTTTAAGACACATTATAGTTCAACGGTTATTCAGCATGAAATAGAACCTAGGTATGTAGCCTGAAGCTGTATATTCATGCAATATTTACATTTTGGGTAAATTAATCCAAGTTAGCCAAGCTAACTTTTTAACAGTAAAAATGGTACAGAATGAACAAAAGTTCAGGAAAAGGCTTTAAACCTATGTGTGTTCTGCAAGTCCATATACCAACAATGAATCCATTAATGTTTAAGCAAATACAAAAAATGTGTATGCTATATAATGTTATTCTTTTAGTTACATAAAACAATTTTAAAAGGTTTCCAAGTAAGAGCGATTAACCTATTAAACTAAAATCTGTTCTGATATAGCTGTTTTACTCATCTGACAGGTTATTATTCTGAATATGAAATCTTCACCTGGTTGCAAACGTTAAAGATTATAACTACCAGCAAGAAGGAGTCTTTACATTTTAAAAACCATGATTAAAATCGAATCTTAGGGACTAGTGATTTAAATCATGATTTAAATCAAATCCTCCCTGACCAGCCACCTCTCCCCATGGGCAACCAATGAGGATCACCCTCTGGCACCAACCCTGAATTATGGGCCCCGAGTCTGTCTTTTCAGGCATGTTTCAGTGGGCACCTGCTCTCCCCCCATCCCATAAATTTTGGCCCTGGGCTTTGCCTCTGCCCTCCCAAAAATGCAGATCTCACCAAGCGTCTATGCCATTGTTGAGGGTCTGATCGTGGGATCCATATGTGCGCTTCAAATAAACCCTAAGCTTTACTTCCCAGTCGGGAGCAATATTAGATACAGCTTGCTTTTTCTTGCTTTTTTCCTTTTAAAGGGGAAAGAAAATCAGGCCGTTAAAACCATGCCAGTTTTGGCATGCCCAGTGAGATAGATTATTATAATATATGTATGCTTTTGTTGAGGCACATACATCATTTTAGTTGCAAATTATTTTCACCAAAGTGCCTTGAGATATTAAGACATTGCAAATGGATAGCAATATTAAAAACCCTTATCTGACAAGTTCTGGCACGTCCAGGGACCCAGATTATGCATTGCAACGAAGGTCCATTTGTGTCCTTAAAAAGTCACCTGAAAAAAAAGGTTAATTACAACTTCGCAGCTGCCCGGTTTGATTGGGTTTTGTAGCCATTCATTACGTTCCTAATTAATTCTGCGGAACAATGTGTTTTTTGAAGTGGAAAATTCCACACAGAAAAACATTGAGAGCGGAAAAACTTTCTGTCCCACCAAACGGGGATCCTGTAAGGTCGCCCATCAGGTGGGTGTCTGGCTGAAATGCCCTCTTGAATCAAGAGCTTTCAGCTTTTCCATACATTTTTTTTTATTATGAGTCCCTTCTCACCGTCACTACCTGCAGCAAGTTACAATTTTTTTAAAAAAATGAACTAATAATCTAAATTTCAGGGCTGTGGGGAACAAGAAAAGCGGCTCGTGTCCATAAATGCCAGGGTCAGAACTATCTGAAGACAGCTCCGTGCCCGCAATCTTTTTTCCCAATTTATGGTGTGGGGCCAAACACAAGATCGACTACAATGCCTAGAATCCCACACCTGAGTGGCCAGTGCAATTTTGTGAGTTATAGTGCCTCACCCACAAAGCCCACCTCTGTTTTCTCCTCTCTGCCTGGACCATACCCCTTCCGTTAACAGGTGTGGGCTCTTGTGATGGACTTTCCCCGCAGGCAGCCACTCCAAGACGCTGGAAACAAAGCGTCCAGTGAAGTCTTTCTGTCCTGCCAGGTGCAGGAAAGGTACGAGGTGCAGAGTTTGGCCCAGGGCATCTGGGGAAACCCAGTTTTTCTGAGCTGAAATACGTAGCAGGTAGAGTCCGGACACACCTTCGCTTCCCACACCTGCTTTGCAAGAACTCAACCAGGCAACTAACCAGAAGGAAGGTTTGGGACCAAATCGCTCTAGGAGGCCCATCCTTCGTGGAATATGTGGGCATGAAATCCATGGCGTGGAGGGTGAGTTCCGACGGCCGTGGCCCCAGAGACCAAGAATCACGGACCACTTGGAAAATAAACCAGCAGAACGCTACAGGTTAGTTACGCCAGCAGAAGGGCCAAGGAGGAAACAGGAACAGGGAAAGGCCTCCAGTCCACAGACGGCCACTCGTATCCCTGAGAAAACAACCTGGATGTTTAAAAAGAGGACCCCAAACTCAGGAATATGTTCCAAATTGTCATCTTTTCACCTGAAAAGGTAGCTCTGAGATTGGATCTGCCCCACATCCCATTCTTGAGCCTGAAAGCAACTCATTTGGTGCTTTTTCCAGACCTTGGATAACATTCTGTTCTTTTTAACCAGCATGGTTAGGAACGATGCTGGCAGGGGATGACGGGGGTTGTCATCCAAAAGAAGCCAGTTTCCCCTGCAAAAAAAAATCATTTTACTGTGGATCAAGAGGCTGACTCAGCATAGGTTAACCTACTTGATTCCTAAGAGGATCGTCTTCCTCGGGTTTGCTTATCCCACAGATCTGCATTCAAAAGGTAGACTGCACCATTCCCTGGGGGCTCTACTTAACTTTGTTGGCTAAAAGCTGTTAAATGATGCATCCTGTCTTGGTCTAACCTTTCTTAAAACCATCCAGTATTTTATTAAGCAAGCTTTTTTTTCCAGTAAGGTTCATGAGCAACTACAGTGAGAGGAACAGAGGGGAAATACCCCTCCTGACCATTTTATGCAAAAGTCCAGTAATTTTTCTTGCATCTCTCGTTGCTGTTCTTCTAACAGACAGAAGCAACCCACCTGTCCAGCTTTTACCCCGAAAGAAACT